GGAGGCCAAACAAACATCTTATATATCTCAGACAGTGCGCTAGCAGCCACGTCCTTGCACGAAAAAAAACTATTAAATTTTCTATAAAACAACATACACACAGTATGGTGGGAGGCCAAACAAACATCTTATATATCTCAGACAGTGCGCTAGCAGCCACGTCCTTACACGAAAAAAAACTATTAAATTTTCTATAAAACAACATACACACAGTATGGTGGGAGGCCAAACAAACATCTTATATATCTCAGACAGTGCGCTAGCACTCTCTATGGTGGAATGCAATGGGGAAAAAGTAGCCACCACTGTTGCAATAATACATAAACTCAGCTGAAGATTCTACTCCAATAGCCACAATAAGGCCGATATGAAGAGCCATTTCTAGAGTTATACTCACTTCCTATTTTGGCACGTGACCTTTCAACTTCGGTCCGTAAGACACTTCTGCGGCCAATGACCGTCAATTAATTAATCACAGGAAACACTGTGGAAGAACGTTAAGAGCTAGGTAACAGAAAGCACCCATACCGCCACAACTTTTTCCGCTACCTCTTCCTACAAAGTCATCCTGACCATAGCACAGTGTATACCGTATTTTAAATATATACATATTGAGTTCTTAAAGCTTATACAAAACTTTTGGTCAGGTAATAACGAATACTGTAATAGTATGTTATGTTATAAATATATTGTGTGAAACTTAGGATTTTTGTGTTATTCATCACAGCATCCACTCACTTGTTTTTAGTTCATAATCTGGACAAAGGACGGGTACCTCAGCTTGTGCAAAATAATCAACAACTTTGCTGATAAACTTGGCAAGTTTGTTTGTAGTTATGCACAAAGCTACACAATGGCCTATCTGTGCTCTGCCGACCGCGGGTATCGAAACCCGGTTTCTAGCGTTGCAAGTCCGCAGACATACCGCTGTGCCACTGGGGGGCAACTTGGCAAGACAAGTGTGTTAACCTATGATACTAAAACTTCAAATCTCATATAAATGTTCTAATCTAAAGTAAAACAGAATTTCAAAGACTCTGACAGCGAATTTATGTTTTAGACGATGTTTTAGTTAATTTAATAATGTTTTAGAAGATATATCAATAACTTGAAATTTCTTGTCTTGGTAATTACATTATATTTCGTTTGTAATTATTTGGTATTCAATGAGTACTAAATTTTCAGACATTATATTCTAATTCAATTAGTACTTGATTTTGTCTTTTGTAACTTCTAAGTCTAACATTTATCACTCATCAAAACAACAAGAAATTTTGTGACAACAAATAGATCCATTTATAGCGTTAAAAGGACACAAATAATATATATATTCATGCTAATCGCAAATACACGAAATACTATAATGCAGGATGAGATTTATTTTCATGCGCAGAGTGTAGGCTTGTTAGTCTTAGCTTGTATGACTATCGTGCAATGTTTGTTTCAGGGGTTAAAAGTGACCATGAGCAAACATCCGTCTTGTTTGAAGTTAGTTGGAGAGCTACAAAGCAAAAATGAACAAGTGAAGGATCATGCCGTTATCCTATATCAAGGTGAGATACACATTTGTCATGTTGTAGAGGATAAAACTAAATATCATTAACCCTGTTACATATTGTGGAAAATCTGTTTTCAAAATTATTACTTTCAAAATCTAATTTTATTTCTTCAAGCTTTCTCCTATCTATATGTAAGAAATTTATTTACACATGTACATAATTTCTATTTTGTATACGTGTATGTCTAAGATGATGTATGCTTACATATTAGAGATTAATTGGAGGTGTTATAAGAAACAAACTCGGTTGTAAAGTGAAGTTTTTGGAACTTTATAGGTTCTGTGCGGGATTTGTGTCCGAAGGCTCCAAATAACGTCAATACGATGGCTGCAGCCGCAATAGCAGGATACACCCTAGGTTTCGATAACACCCAAGCATGTTTAATATCTGACCCCAGGTAGTTTGTATGTTATATACGCATATTTTTGTAATTTACACAGCCCACACTTACTAGAATCAAGAAACTAAAGCTTTAGAAGAATAACTCTCTTTGAAACTTTTGATGATAATTCTAAAAAGTGGTAACTTAATTGACCTGCTTGCTATTGAATACATTTGTTAGTTTTTTTCAAGAAAACAAAGCATATTTCGAGTATTTTCAGCTAAATATAAGATTTTTGAATATTTCTGAATATTGCTTTATCGCATACTATCCAATTACGATATTTAATCTGTGATTGATAGCGTACTTTTATGTTTCAAGGCATAGTTAAAATTATTTTGCGTTTATTTTAAATTGAACAAGAATTACAGAAAAATTATCACTGTTCAGAATTTGTGTATTAAAATTGTGTTTAGGAGTTACTCCGAGAAATCACAAAGTATATATAGTTTTCTAGTAGGAAACGCATCTATAACGATCAAAATCTGTCACAGCCTTGCAGATTATCATATCGTGGAAGTGGAAGTTCAAGGGCCAATACAACCAGATGGAAAAAAGTTCTTGGTACAGACAGTTCGTAAAAACCCAGCTCCAATGGGAGCTGTTACCGGAACCGCTACCTACGTATCGTTTCTAAGCAGTATGTTAGGTATGTGCTAAGAATTTTAACGACAATTTCGTTATTTAGCGACGAGATTTTATGATTAAATTGCTACCATCTTGGTACAGACGTGAAAGCGAATTTTGATTTTGATTTGAAATATCTAGGGGCTAAATAATCTGCATCCACGTGTTTCTTTCGCACTATTTCTCTCACTTTTTTTTTCTGATGTTCGAACATTTTCAATATAAAGACATAAAAAATGCACCAGCTTTGATCATTATTTATGTTGTCGTTTGATTATGATAGCTTCACTTTATTCAATTACGCGTAAGTAATAATGATTTAACAAAACGTTTTATTCCATCTATGAAATGTTTTATATCATTATAGCCAGTAATAAAATTTAATACATTAGTTCATAATTTAATTATCATGTTTTTAACTAGTTATTTTTTCTTGTAATAAACTTTATTAAACTTGTCACAATGAACAAAGTAAAAGTATTATGACTTTTTTTATTAAATTAGTTGTAATTCAGTATTCAAAAAACAACAGCATTGTACAGAGGTTAAGTGAATTATATTAAAATTATTTTGGGATCTCAGCACATCGTTATAGTCTATGTTGCCCCGACCGATCATATTCGCATTAATGACAGTGCATCTTGCCAATGACCCTGCAGCGTAGTTTTCATTCCAAAAGTTTGTCATAAGACTTTCACGTCTAAAGCACACCCCTTCTTCTTCTTCCTTGCTTTCCAAAAGCCATCTAGTATACCAGGACAAAGGTTTCCCAGCGCCTGCTTAAATAGTATTTATCACACCATATGTGATGCAACCAGTGACTTGTTCGATATGTCTTCGTGTAGAGTAGCATGATTATCTTCTTCATTCTCTAACTGATTGAGGTATGCGAGGATTGAACAAATGTGTTGTGAAAGCTACTGATGTGCACGTGAATTGTGTCGCTTTTCCAGGCACACATCCTTTTTGCGTAATGTTACATGAGTGTTATAGGCGGTTTTGCCACTGATCTTTGCGTTCGTGGATTCTCACTTGTTACAAGACACCGTACTTTGCTTACCACGCCTTTTTAAGGGTCTCTTTAGGTATGATCCTGGGTCCAAGTTGATCCGTATTCCTTTGTTTTCCAATGCCATTAAGCACAAGGAATATCGCCGTTTAAAAAAAAAAAATTCTTAATCCAGGATTCGAACGCATCTTAATGATCTGAATGTACGAATATTTTGCTTTGGAAAGAACTGTTTCATACCCTTTCAAAAAGCAATCAATTTTCGGTGGCATTACAATATCTACATACCGCCAAATAGTGTAAAATTGTAATTCTGATAAATGTCATTCCACCGCGACTCTATAGCGGTGTAGTTGTCACGTGACTTGTTGATTTGCATATTCAAAACCGTTTTAATATAACTTATTCAACCCTCTGTAGTTCAATGTATTAAATATTAATCTGCTGTTGAGATATGGGTAGGCAGAACGAGAAACGATGTGTTTCATAACTTGAACATACATCTTAACACTTCCCCGGTGGCTCAACGGTAAATCTATGGACTTATAATGATAAAAATTGGGTTTCAATCCCGTGGTGGGCAGAGCACAAATAGCCATTTTTGTAGTTTTGTGCTTAATAGGAAACAAACAAAACTTTTTATGTTGATGTATGCACATGTGTTCCATAGTATTAAGCATTACCACTTCATTTGTAATATACCCCAGTTTCACACAACGGTTATTCAATATTTATTACTTTTTTATTCATATTTTAAATTTTTATAGTTAAAATCCGAAATTTTAAATTGCAGAAGCCCGAGGGAAAGGTTCCGGTTTTCATTTATGCTGACTTCATGTATTGCTTTGATGAAAACCTCCGATTCTGTCAACATCAAGACAGTGATTCTTGTCCACCTCGTGTTTTGACAACACCATCTTACTATACTTCAAATGTGTTCATTAAAAATTTATTTTATATGTCTATGACATAGTATTTCAAAGAAGTTGCAACTTTCTTAACAATTGAAATATTTGAATTATTTCTCGTAAAAAAAGAAACTTTTAAAACAACTGTTTGTGTATGTTGATTTGGTGCATTTTCTTGTATGGTGACAATACTTGAGTATTCTAGAATTTCCTCAGAAAAAAAATGTTTAGTTTCTTTAAAAATTTATCGTCTTCATAATTGAAATGTCTGAAGCTAAACTACTAAGTGAACAGCCATTAAGAAAGTTGTAAGTAGAAAAGAAAAAATAATTTGAATACAATAACCTTTAATAGACAATACATTATAATTCTGTTCCATATTTTGATATTGTTCTGATTATGCAGAATCATTTAAAACTTAACAGATCATACATTTATGTACATATATATAATTTTTTTTTACTCAGTCTGACACCTGTTAATTTTTTGTATAACAAAATGAGACAGGGACGATGTATTATCTGAAATGCATAATCTGGTTATACACAGACCTCCCCCTTCCTCTGAAATAGAGCAGATGATTGCAAAAAATGAAGTAGCACAAATTACTGATCCATCTTGGCTAAGTTTGAGAAGTTACGGAGCTTATTGCGTGACACACTGCTAGAGGGCGCCACACGTGAGTCGACTTTAAGCAATGGGTAGAAGGGGTAGAGACGATGTCATCAGAGAGGGTGACATCATAGTTCTACGAGGTGTCACTAGAGGGCGTGCAGTAGGAGAGATGATTACATCATAGTTGCATGAAGTGGAACCAGAAGGCGCTTGCTAGACTGCCATGACTAGTAGACATGTTGTTCCCAAAGTGGATCAACATGTAATCAATGGCTAGATTTAATGCAATTGGTATAAAACACTAATCCGTTAGATCTATATTTAATCACACTTTGACATTTCCTAACCATTTATATATAAATAACTTAATACCCTGAAAAAGATCATTATTTAACATGCAAACTTACGACAATATTACTGTTTCACTAGTTTGTTTTTATCCATATAACTATGTTCTTGACAAAATATGTTTCTGACAATAAAGGACAAGAAAATAAACCAATTTTGATTTAACATACTGATTATAGTTTTAGTTTCTATATTTAAGCATACTTTTTACAATTATTGTCCTGAAAATGATGCAAAACTCTTATTCCAATGAGACAACTATTATAACATACATATTATCCATTATTTGAATGAGGCATTTATTATAACCAATAAATTACTTTACATACTTTTTCGTCCCAAAAAGGACGATTATTTAATTCTTTATATAATTTTACATACTGTTTCACTTTATATATATATACATAATGCATGTTATAACATTTTATAAATGATTTCATTTTGCTACAACTAAAATGATAAATGAATGATTTATTGTTTATCCATCCATTCCCCTGAAGACTAAAATTTCATAACACTTTGACACTGTCTGATGTTATGACCATGTTTGTTAGGAAATATCACAAACATACAAAAGGTGTGAGTACTGACGTCAAGACAGTTTGTTAGGAGGTCATCATGTCTTACTGTTTAACCAATTACTTCACTATTATATAAAATACTTAAAATAGCAAAACTAACCATTTTCTATAGAATATTCACTTCAAGTATAAAACATACCATACAAAGAAAATTCATAAAACTTTACAGTTTTAAAGTAAAGCCTATAAACGAACTTACTTCATGCATTAATCAAAACGTCTGCAACAATCATTGAGAGTACTTGCATATAGATGTTCTTTTCATTTCCATCTGTGTATCATTAACACAATGGAGGCATTTCACTCTGACTCATTGTGATGTGTTTGGACTAAGGCCGATTAGTCTATTTAACTTCAAGACACCTGAGTTGACTAAATGATTAAACTTATAGGCTAGAAACAAAAGTTAAAGAAGAAATTTGAAAGATGTTTACATTATATTGAAAGAGTTTTAACATGACACATTTGAATGTATATATTTGTTGAAAATTCAGAAATTCCATTATACTATAACAATTAAACTTATTAGGTAATCAATAACACAAATGAACTTGTTTACAAATGATAGAGTGCAATTCTGGTATTTCAAACATACTTTACAACAAAAACCTTTCATATACTCTTTTCAGTAAGATTAGACTGTGCCCAAAATCACTCAAAAGTTTGGGTAGGATCAGTTGGAAAATATAGCTTAAAATATTATTTAAAAATGAAAGTTAGTTTGACTATGATCAATTCAGTTCTACTTTTAATATTTATGATATTCACTTAAACTTAAAAATTGCATCAACTTTACAGACGTGTGAAAGGTATGAGATTAATGATTTCATTATACAATGAATTATGTACTTGAACAGAGTTAGTTGTTTCCAGGTGGTGTTGATAAACTCGTTCACAAGCTCAGACACATCAGTCTACAACAGACAGTCAAATATTTAATTAAATATTAACAAGCTTCCAATGGTATTGTTACGTCTCCGTTAGTTAATTAACTTTCCGTAACTTCGTTCCAATGAAACTTTAGCGACACAAGTCCTTACTTAATAAAACTGGTTTATTCTTTCCGAATACAACTTTACGATACACTTATTTTCAAAATTCGCGCTATAACAAACGCTAGTTCACGTCTCACGAACTCTACTTCAACAATACGTCTCTCTCTGACTGCAGTTCAATTACTCATTACCTACACACACATTGTTATCCCGTCACGTTGTC